AGACACGCACACACCCCATATGCGGGTATAATATGCCGCAGTACGTCTTGTGTCTCGTTGTCATAAACATCCAGAGCTACTGGACCTGCTTATTGTCTAAATATGGACGCTGTGAGCTGGTCTCTGTTCGGCCTCCTGTGTAAACATGCAGCCTTCAGGTCCAACACACACACACACACACACACACACACACACTGCAAATGGAATGTAGTGTTTCATGATAAAAATGTATCAGAGCCTCTTGTTATCAGAAAGCTGCACATGTTTTACACGGTGTTGCTATGGCAGTCGGGTAAGTCATAATCTAACGTCTGAGTTATTAGCTGCAGAGATATTAATGTGACGCCTGTATCCTGAAGAAGGGTTCAGTAGAGGGAGGAACTGATTTACAGAGAGCTAATACTTCATATGTTACATCATAATCTACCAAATGAGTTTAAAGTGTTTCTCTTATATTGTTCTTTGACATAACGTCATGTCTTGTCCCGAGACCTTAAATAAAAGCTACGTCAAATTGATCCGTGACGGGGTCTTTGGTATCTTAATGTCAAAGATTAAAAACCTCACCTCCTTATTGATCAAAATAATAAAATATAATCCCAGAAATACAGTGACAACCTCAACTTAAATGTTTATTTAGTAGAATTAATACCTCTGAAAGAAAGAACTAAACTTTATAACCTCCATGGAGGAAGGATTGTTTTATTAAACCGCCGTATTTTATGCATTTGTGCGTTGAGATATTTCATTACAACTTCATCTAGATTATTTGTGTCACGTTTTCTAAAAAAGAAAACTAATCCAAACCAGACATTTGTCCTCGATGCGTCTCCGTGTCTTCTGACATGAAGCAACACTGCTCCCGTGTGGACACGCACACGCACAACGCGTTAAACTCCCTCATGCTGACACACAACTTTACAACAGTAAGTCAAGATTCTTCCACCTCATTTAGCTAACGCTGCACAGGTCGCACATTATTGTGGTTTTATAAAAGATACGCAGTGTTAAACTACAAATATTTGAACTTTTTTTGTTTTTCACAGGTATTATATACTTTACTGTTATTATCTTCAAAAGATGTTCAGTTCAAACAGGTAAATTACAGGGAAAAATGTGTTATGTTTTACAGGGATAGAACGTTATTTGCATTGATCTGATAAGACAGTTGAACATTTTATTTTTTTCTGATCGAGCAATCTGGTTTACTTGAAAGTGATTGTATTTCTTTTATTCCATTTTCGGAAAAAGCATTGATGAAGGAGTCACAAAATCTTGTTTCAATACAAATTCAACATGGACCATTTTGTTGTGGCGTGAACATTTTTCTTACAGAACCAGAATGAGAAAAGTACAATTCCCTCGAGAAAGCCAAACTACAAAGTGCTGTGAGTGCAGCTCGAGTGGAAGCATTTTAAAATCTTCTGGTGGGCTGAGAACGTTCATAAAGTAAGTTCTAAGAGATTCGTTCACCACAAAAAGCCTAACGTCTGATATGACATGATTCCTCTTCAAAGCAAGAAGACAAACCTTTGAATTGGGTTGAACCGTTTGATGTTTCTTTCTCTCTTCCTGTCAGCTTCTTTTTCTGCTCGAGCGTTGCCGACTTAAAGAAAGCTCTGTTTGCTCGGGACTCAAAAGGGACCCCGGAGTTCACTGAGGCTTCCCATGTCCCCCCCACTCACACACTGATGGGACGGCGGAACAAACTGGACCCTCTTCTGTGTTCTGGTGACACGAGGACATGGAGACATCCGGAAGCTCCGGTCCTGATGGGACGCCTTCAGCCCAAGAGGTCTCTGCTGGACTCCGGCACCGAGCCGGCTCGGGTCCAGTCCTTTGTGGGAGCGACGGCGCACCAAATAGTGTGTTACAAGTTCCTGGATTTAATCTAAACGTTTTTTTTGTCTTTTAGTAGTGATCTCCATGGTATCAGTGGACTTTTACTACTGATGCAATATATAATTATGATGTTTATCTAAAACTTTGTAGTGTGTCAATCAAGCTAAATTTCCATTGAAGTAAATGGACGTTAAGTCACAGTATATTTACGGATAAGGTGGTAACGTATATATGTTCATGTCCTGTGTAACCAGTAGGCCTCACTGACTACACTAAACAAATCCATCGCACGTCACCGGATGCAGCTAGCCTAGCTTAGCATAAAGACTGGAACTGATGAGGACAATGAAACACCACCAACACGTCTAGAGCTCCGGGCTAAAGGTTGTTCTGGTTACTGAGAGCATCTAACAATCAATGAGATATTTAAGCAAGTTAGAAAACCGGCTGAGGGAATTTATTCTCGGCTCCTAAGCAACGGCTCCGTCTGCTTCTGCCTCTCGCTGGCTCCGCTTCAAGCCAGCAGAGCGCTCCACATGTGGACAGGACGCTGTTAGCATCGCTGGTTAGCATTGGGCTGTCGTCTTGGTAATGGTTGCTGTTAAGCGATATTGTGCTGTGCATTTCCTGAGAGCAGAACCAGACAAGCAAAAACAAACAAATGCTTGAGGGTTTTAATTTGAAAATGTTACATGAAGCATGAAGCATCTTCTTGGCCAAACAGCACTACTTTCACTACACATGATATGTTACATATGCAGCGTAATCGCAAAAACGTTTCTGTGCAAGTTGGCCTTGTAAAAGAATAAAAGCAAATCAATGGTATGTGGTGATGAGGAATATTGTTGCTATGCAGTGAGAATCATTTCAGATAAACCTAGACAAAGTTTTACTTTACTCGCTCAGAATTTCTCCCCATTTGAGCTAAATAAAGCATTTGGGATCTCATTGTCACACAGCTAAGGTCTGGCTAACACCGCGCTGTTAGTCCCGTTAGCCCCGTTAGCTTGTGGCGCCGCCACAAAAACCTGAGCAGTCAGACTATCAGACGGGTGACTCCCGTGTGACCTTCACTGCCTCATGAAGTGATGAAAGTAATCACGGGAAACTTCCTGCCCAGACAGAACTCATCAGACGGGTCTTTGGGTTGAGAGGGACTTGAGGGGCCCCACATGCACGCAGCAGGAAATCCCCACAGAGGCCCCGGTGACCTTGTTGGGTTTGCACCATATTGCTGACTTAAGTCTGCCGTGCCGCTGCGTCTCAGCCGGTCGTCAGGGCAACGCAGAACGAGAGGACTTTTGGCCGATGGAGGCGGACGGCAGCCGTTCTTCCTCCCCTGCCTCTCGGCCTTCTTTCTTCTCTGCCCGGTGACGGAGGCGGCCGGTGGGAGGCGGTGGGTGTTGTGTAGCTTAGCAACTCCCATGGTGGATGGAGTTTGATATGCAGCATTGTTCAAGTCTCTCTCTCGCTCTCTCTCCGAGACAGGGAGGGGGGGCGGGCGAACAAAGCCGGCCTTATTGAAGCCTCCCCGCCTCCCTCGCTTTGCCCAAGCACAGCGACGGGGGAGGGCACATTTTTCGGCTCAAAGGAACCAAGACTTACAAACTTACCACAGCGGGTCCTGAGAGTGTCACTCGGGGGCCCAGCGCGACATCTGTGGTGTCCCAAGCAGAATGAAGCTCAGTTTGAAGAAATAATCAAACCCCAAATATTTATTTATTATTAAATGTGCCTTTGGACCGAAGTCTTATCCTTTGGGGTCTGTGATATAACACCATCAGATTGAATATCAGAGCCTCCACCCTCTCACACATGCTGATGTGTTGACATATCGGGAGCTACTTGTTTCCCTTAGTTGTGAAAATCAGGACCGTAAACTTAACGTCAACTGTTTATCTGGTAGAATGCATAAAAGTGACCCATGCATTTATCTCACACAGCTGCTAACGGCTGCTAACAGCTGCTAACGGCGCTCCGACCATCAGCCTTGTTGCGGAAGCGCAGAGCTCTTCCTCGGGTTCCGCCCAACCTCGTCTGCTTAGCTGGCGCTGTTACCGCTGTTAGCAGGTAACAACCAGCGCAGCCTTCGCCATGAAGAGAGCCGCTAAGAGGCAAAAAGCTTTAGCATATATACAGTATATTCCCTTCTAAAACTGTCCAGATGCAACATGATTTTTATGTTTTATCCAGTTTGTTAAATGTAAAAAGGAGAATTTTAGAAGCCGTGGAAGATCTACTTCCTTGAGTTATTGTGAACACGGGATACAAATCTGGATTCTTATATTTTGTGCACAGGATAACGCCTGGTGTGTTCATGATATATCGAGTGCAATATATTTTTGTCCATGCACAAACAAATATATATGGATCAAAAGAATATTATAAAACTTAAAATCTGAAAAATTTATTGATTAGAACAATTTGTATTATTTATTAACCTTTAGTCAAGATGTGTCCAAAAGATATTGTAACATTATTCTAAAAATCCACCATGTGGTTCATGTAGAAGACAACTGCTTTGGAATATGTTCGATTAGGTTCATCATTCATCATAAAGATGATGCATCTATCTGTCAGCTCATCATTAAAAGGAATAGATCATCACATCAAAGGACAAAGCTGGAGAAAGCGAGGCGTTCTTGGCCGCTCGCCCGGAGACTTTCCACAGTGCGACTGTGAGTATTAAGTCTGCAGAGACTCAAAGGCCAACTGTTATTGTGAAGCTGTGACCTTCAATAATTGAATAATGACTGAAGAGAAGCACCACAGTCAGGCGTGAACGGCTTCCTCCTCCAGTGGGCAGAGCGCCGCGGCGTTGCATTCCTTCCCGTGGAGAACAGAGGAAACATCCGCCGTGTCGCCCTCTTTTTTTAAGATTGATTCACAGAAAGATTCTCAGGAAGCGACGGATGTTCACTGAACACACAAATGTTTGGGAACACGTGTCCTTCCTCACTTTCTTTCCCCTTCCTCTTGCCTTTGTTTGGTTTTCTGTCTTTTCTCTTTAACGCCTGCAGGATCTTGATGACGACGTCTGCTATTTTATAATGAAACATGGTGATTTTGTGGACGTGTTGAGCTTTAGTGTGACAGGTGGATACTCTGGCCGTCACATGTCACGAGAGAACATTCAAAGAACACACGGACGGAATCACTGACAGGTGATGCAGAGGAGGAACATCTCAACTTTACTAAACCAGAAGGTGATAAAACAAGTCAAACTTTTCTCACAGCTTCAAGATCTTGACTGACCTGAGCAATGATGTCATCTCATTCTTTTAACCTGCCGTCTCCACGGCAACAGCAAAACAACAGTTCATGAAGTTCACAGCAAAGTGTCTCCTGGCTAAAAAAAGATCTAATTATGTCCATTCTCTGTTGAAACATATTAGGAAACAAACAACTCATACAGTGTTTCTGTCTCATAGTCTCATGCTGTTTGAGCAACAGATCATTGTTAGTAACTATCACATGTTTCATACAAAAATCAAATCAGTACTAAATAACAGGATTAAATCCTACACTCCCTCGCAATACAAAATGATGTATCTAAACTCTATTCAGGCACGTTTGTGCTCCACAGACTTCCCCCAAAGGGTCGGTGCACTATTACAACCTGGGCTTTCTATCAGTTATGACGTCATCGCGGTCGAGTTAACAGCAGAGATCTGAGGAGATGCGAACAAACTCCACGTGGAAGTGATGTGATCCTCCTGCACAGGTTGAGCCTTCATGAATTCACATGCAGTTTTACCTTTAATGAAACTAGTTTTATAAAGAGGTTTGGATGAAGTTAGTTGGATTCCGCTGATCTGCTGCTGCAACAGCGTCCGCTCTGCTCGGATGCTGACGGTCACATGTCGGTGTAAATATTCCCCCTCATCAGGAACCCGGAGGCCTCGACCCAACCAGGAACAGCAGAGCGAGACGAAGGCGCCACAAACTCCGTCCCATCGACCAGACTGCCGGCGTTTCCCCGACTCTGCATGTTCATTCTGAATGAAAGTCACCGGATCTCTGCTGTTAACTTGGTGACTGCATTATTACAACTGATGATGAGCCGTGCGGCCCAGGGCCTCAGCAGGGCGTCCCGACGGCGGCGGGAGAGTCCTTCGCCGCCAGCAGGCTCTTCGTCGTCTCGTCTTTGCCGGAGGGGGACAGCGAGGTCGGGGACAGCGAGGTCGGAGACGGCGACGCGGGCGAGGACACGTTGGAGGTGGTGGCGGCGGTGGAGGCCGAGGAGGAGGGGCGGGCGCCGTCTTGGACGCACTCTTGGCAGCAGCAGCAGCAGCAGCAGTCCATGAAGGCCTGGCCCAGCGAGCGGCACAGACACAGCAGCAGCACCGGCGACGCCGAGCAGCGCGCAAACAGCAGGAACTGTCCCGCCAGGCTCAGGGCCGGCAGCGCCAAGGCCGGGAGGGCGGCGGACGCGTGGGCGGGGACGTACGCCAGCACGATGTTGCAGACGCTCTCCGGGAGGTTGCACGCCCCGTACAGGGCGGCGAGCGCCATCACGGTGGTGCGCAGTCTCCGCTCTCCCGCCAGCTGATGTTTCGTCGGGGATGGCGACGAAGCGGAGGGGGAGTAGTAGGAGGCGGAGCATCTGCCGGGCGCCTCGTCGCCGGCGTGCTTCCGCGGCAGGCGCTGGGCCAGCACGTGCCTGGTCACCAGGTCGCAGGCCACGGTGAAGAGAAGCGGCAGACACAGGTAGCAGCCGAAGATCCACCAGGCGCGCGCCTCGTGGTAGGTCAGCACCAGGGGGAACACGCCCTCCGGGAGGTCCGCCGACGGCTCCCGGACGCAGACGTCCGCCTTGGAGGCGTCCGACCCGCCTCGGAGGGCGGCCATCAGGGAGTCGCCGGGGAGCGGCGGCGGGACGACGGCCTGCTGGCGCAGCTGCCACAGCAGCAGCTCGGGGGCGGCCAGCACCATGGAGCCCACCCAGATGACGGACAGCTTGGACAGGATGGACTGGCAGGGCTCCACCCGGGGCGCCGGCGAGGGCGCGGCTCCCGTGGCCGCGTGGAAGCGGTCGATGCTCAGGGCGCAGAGGCTGAACGTGGCCACGCCCAGAGAGGTCACCTGACGGGGAAATGACAGAGAGGCGTGCAGAGGAAGGGTTCACGACGGAAACCCTTAATTGACATTAATACAAAGCTAACAAGTCCTTTGCAACGAGACCTGTTAATAAAATAACATTCATTTACAACTGTGTGGTTTTAAATGTGGAACAAAGCCCGACTTCCTGCAGACAGTCGGTCTAAACAGGGACAGGAAGCGGTTTTGCTGCTTAAAGAGCAGATTTAAAGCCTTTCCTTTGCCACCCTGTAAATTAGACCCAAACTAACAGTAATCAGACCTGTGAGGAGCCGCTTAGAAAAGGGGAATAAAAGGAGTCCTGCACAGAGGCTCTCTGCTGTGACAGCTCCTGGCCTGCAGACCGGGGGACAGTTATTGGCGCTTCGTGCACATTAATGCCGCTAGTTTTGGCCCAAAACACAGACGTGTCCTCCCTCGGCGGGCGCTTAATGGCCGCAGAGGGAGTTGAGATACAACTGAAGATAATTAACACAGCGCTCTAATTAGCATGAAAATAGTTTAACTAAGAGCACAGGGGCAGCTGGCAGCCTGACCCGCTTAGCGAGCGAGCGGTTAAAAAAACGGCTAAAGACCACTTTGAGAGCGTTAAGTAATTAGCAGGAAACTCACTCGTTCATTAGCATGAAAATAGCCGAAGCCAGGAGGAACAGAGGAGGCCAGCAGCCTGACCCTGTTAGACGCCGCCGCACACAAGCTGTTATTACAAATGAGGAGAACCCCACTTCAGTGATTTAAAGCCCTGTGGACACTTGGAGCCGGTTTAGAGCCAGAAACAAGGAGTCCACCAAAGAGGAGCCCGGCAGTGGCGATTAAGAGGCTCTCATGGCCAAAAATCAGTTCACACGTCTCAAATATAAAGATTTACTGTATATCTCTGTTTTATGTTAAAATCTAAAAACAGATTTTTTTTCTGAAGATGTGACGTTTGACTCAAACATTTTTATACATTTTACAGAATAGTTTAGATTCAACCTTATTGAAATAGTACTAGAACAACAAAACTAACCCTTATTTGCCCCCCCTGGTCTCCATGTTGTTTCAGCGGGAACACGGCGCTGTATAAACACCCCTAATAGACCGAGGAGAACAAACAGCCCATAACGGCACTTTATGGGAAGCAAAGACCGAAACAAACCGGCCTTTCATCTCAATCGAGCTGGTAGACGTCCACAGTGAGTCTGACATGGGGGGTGAGAGCAGCTCCGGGGGGGTGAACGAATTGTCATCACACTGAGTCGCTTGTTTTAACGGTCTAACTTGTTTTAACATCTCGGGGCTGGAGGACATTTACAGGACGCTGGCAGACTTTTCTATTTTTGCAACTTAGCTCATGGTAATCGAAGCAAAGACAAATCCTTGATAAGAAATAAATAACTGATTGATCTTTTAATTGGCACCAAATGCACCGTCTGAGGATTTGATGACTGAGCAGTTTGTCAAAATAAAAATGAACATATTGATCAGAAAGACCACCGGTTTTATGCAGCGGTCGGGTTGAAAAACTTTTACTACAACCCTGGGCAGCTGTCAGTCACCCATCACCCTCACAGGGGTCACGGGAGGCCCCTGTAGGGCGCGTCAAGGTGCGGTCAAAATAAATAACAATTATTAAAATGATTTTGTCTTGTTAGTATAATTTCAGGATATAAAAACAACGTTTCCTCACCTCCACGTAGGGCACGAGCCGACAGGACAGGTCTCCTAGCAACCACCTGGAGGTGAGCGCGTGGAAGACGACCACGGGCAGGCAGGTGAGCAGCACGAGGAGGTCGCAGAGCGCGAGCCCGGCCAGCACGTGGTTCCACGCGCTCTGCAGGTACAGGTCGTGCCACACGGCGCAGGTGAGCGCGAGGTTCCCCACGACGCCCGCCGCCAGCAGCCCGAGCGCCAGCAGCGTGATGACGTAGGCCCAGCGCGAGCCGCGGAGCGCCGGGTGGAGGAGCCCCGGGGGGGACGAGTCGTTGCCCGGGCGGGCGGAGGCGGAGGCGGCGGCGGCGGGGGGGACTCGCCGGGTGGTGAAGTAGCCGCTCGGGTCGTCGGGCCGTCGCGGAGAGTCCGGGGTTCTTCTCCGGGAGGTCCCGTCTCCGGCCCCTCGGGCGACCCGCTTGGGGTCGGGAGCTCTGGAACCCTCAGGCCGGGGGAGAGGCGTCCTCTCCGGGGAGAAGGGCTCCCGCGACCCCGCACTCACCGCCGGAGCGGCTCCCTGATGGTGACGCAGCTGCGCGGTCCGCAGACACAGAAGCAAAACAAACAAAACCGGGCTCATTTTTGTGTATTTATTTTCCTTTAAATAAATGTAAAAAAAAAACGACCGTATTATCTTTCTCTTTCACGGATACGTGCAGCAGCAAACACGAGACACTCCTGGAATAAAAGTTTTTAAAAAGTCCATCAAAACTTCCTCCCCGTCCCACCTCCTTCGGTCCTGATGGAGAAGTTCACACTCTGGTCCTCCAGCGCTTCTTCATCGCTCCGTATCAACACGGCGCTTCCGGTGGCACGTTTCAAAATAAAGAAAAAACGAACGTGAAACCTCCCCTTTAAGCTTTTCTTTTTTTTTTTTTTTTAATGGAAGCATTTATTCATGTTTTGAATCAATTAATTCCAGGCTGGATTACAATAACTACAGTTTATGGTTTGTGGTAGTTATTTTTATTGATTTATTTTGGTGACATTCAGACATTAATATTTTTTTATGAAGCTTATGTATAAAGTTTTCATATTTGAACCACACAAAAATATTTCATAGAGCGAAGTGACACTGAGGCTTCGCATCAAATCAACCGTGATGAAGTAAGAACTAAAGTCCACAAGGAGTCATCAGAACACTCAGTCAAGGCACGTATTTCATCAATTATACCATTTCATAAGAACAGGGTTGGTCCTCTGGTCTGAGGTACGTGCTGGATGTTCATTTGCAGCATCATCACCATAGCAACTACAGTACTGTCCGCAACATATTTTAGGAAAATGAAGAAGAAAAAAAATGACTCTGAGGATGTTACTCGTTGTGCGTCTTCAGCTGCCACTTGGTGTCCATCCTGCTGACTGGAAACCCGCCTGCAGCACAAAACAGCACCAAGAGGGGACAAATGATCCGTCAGCCCCCGATTCTGAAATCCGGACCGGTGAACTTCCCATAATCCTCAGCTCTTCAGGGAGGACCTCAGCTTCCTCCGGGCGTCCTTGTGTTTTTTGCGGTACTCCTGTGGAAGTAGAAAGGAAGGTATAAATATCACTACTAAATCTTCAGGCCTCTGCTCACGTCGAGGTTGAAGAGGCGTTGCAGAGCGGCCGAGCAGGAGAGGTAATGGCGAGTAAACCGGTGTATTTTGATCCCGCGTGGAGATTTAGTGAGGTGGTTTCTGGAGGCTTACCTCTCTGAGCTCGGTCCTCCTCTCCTCCCACTGCTCCCTCTGCTCCTCCAGGTGAGAGGGACGACAGAACGACCGAGGACCCTCTGGTGGAGGCGGGAAAAAGCGTTAAGATGGACAAACGGTCACATGTAACATAAAGACATGTTTTACTCGTCCTACCGGTCAGTCTGCTGTCGTCACAGTAGAAGAAGAACAGCTGCGGCTTTGAGGGAATCTCCACTCTGTGAACGACACGGACGACGCTTGATTTCACGGGACAAACTAACCGGAAAAATTACATCAACTTCATGCAGGGATTCATTCGGTCGCATGAAGGTGTGAAGCAGCAGGGTCACGCTTTCATAAAATAAGGAAATGATGAATTGCAATATTCCCTATTTGAAATATGACATAAAATGATTTAGGCTCAAATGAGTCACTTTGGTTACGTTTGTGTATTTTTTAAACTGCGCATTAAACAAACTAATCGCAATGTTCTCACTCTGTGGTTTTAGCGGTGACGTCGGGTTGCTCCTGCTCTTCCTCCTCGGGCTGCTCCTCCTCATCATCATCATCCGAGCTGCTGTCTGGGAAACGCAGGTCTTGCTGCCATGACACCTTTGGCGCCTGGATGCTCTCTACTTTGTACTCTGCTGGAGGAGAGATTTTAAAGATGAGGACGACAAATATGTCGACGGCGTGAGAGAGAAGCATCCGACGTGCAACCTACCCGTCTCTCCACTTCCTGTTTGCGCGTCGTCCTCGAAGAAGGAGAATTTAAACCCGGACGCCTCCTCGCTCTCTGCTGCGGGATCGGCGCCGAGGAGGGACGACTGCAGGGCCGGCTCTTCGTCCTCGCCGCCTCCTCCTTCTGCCTCTTCCTCTCGGTCCCAGTTGGTCTCCTCGTCTTCGGCGGCGGGGACGACGTCCTCCTCCTCCGCCGCCACCTTCGCCTGACCGAACACGGCCTTCAGGTCGCCGGACACGTCGTAGTAAATCTCCTTGGAAACCTCCGGAAGCTTCTGGGCCTCCTCCCTCTTCTTCCTCCGGGCCGCCTTGCTGTGAGGACGGCAGATCCCGTCAGTGTCAGAACATTCAGAGCCGATGACGTGGGACACGATACAGTTTGAAGGGAGGAGTCGCTCAATGTAACTGTTTCGTTTGAAATGACAATATCGATATCGTCCTCGAGTGCGCTTTGCTGGATCACATCATTCGTGCGTTCGACTTTCTCATATTAACATTAAAAGCATCTCTAGAACCTCTTAAGAAATGACCGGGGCAGAGCGCCACAGACCAGGAAGTCATTTCACGGTTTTTTGTAAATAATAATAAAAACATAATACATTTTTTATCTGGTTACTGAGTTCCGATCAGTCCGGACTCCGGTCGCTCGTACCTGTCCTTCTTGGCGTTGTCCGTTTTGGTCTCGAACGCAGCGTGTTCCTCTCTGCTCGGGTCGTAATGCAGCGCTGAGACGTCTCTGCACGCACAGACACACACACACACACACACACACACACAGTTATTTCCTCCTATGGAGTACAGAATGTTCCTGTGAATGCGAGTTCCCGGGGCCCACCTGAAGGCTTTGGGCTTGGCGGCCGTCTTGGCGCCGCCGGCTGGTCGGCTGCCGCCGAGGACGTCTTGCAGGATCGACAGGTTCTTCTTCTTCTCCTCGTCCAGAGCCTCCTCTTCCTCAGTGCCGCTCTTCTTTTTCTCTGAATCACAAAGCGGCCGCGTTATTCAGCAGGAAGAGAAAGAAGCTCACGATCTAAATGTGAATAAAACCAAAATGCGAGCTGACGAAGTGTGAAAGCGGTAAATAATAAATCTTAAAACAACTCTCGCTCGCTTCATATGTGATAAAGAAACATTTTCAGATGTACTGAACACTCACACACACACAGCCTCACCTGACTCCTCCTCTTCCTCTTCGTCCAAGAAGCGAGAGTCCATTCTAAATCGCTCGTCCCTCCCGAAACGAGACTGCAGCTCCATCAGCTGGACACACACACACACACACACACACACACACACACACACACACACACACACACACACACACACACACACACACACACACACACACACACACACACACACACACACACAGGTTTGCATTAGAAGAGAACAAACATCTCAGCATGCGGAGGCGTCCTCTCCGTTCTCACCTTCTGTCCCACTCGACCTTCAAATTGAGGCTTGATGTCGAATCTGCTGCCGTCCTCCTCTTCGTCACCTTCCTCCTCGTCGCCGGCAAACAGTTGAGGGACAGACGGCTTCGGACACATCTGATCACACACACACACACACACACACACACACACACACACACACACGGTTGAATAATGGATAAATAAGGGCGACCGTGGCGCATGGAGTAGAGCCGCAGGGTTGGCGGCTTGAACCCCGGCCGCTCCGTGTCCCACGTCCCTGAGCGAGACACCAAACCCCCAACTGCTCCCCGGGCGCCTTACGGGTGAAGATGCCATGAAAGTCGCTTTGGGTAAAAGCAGCTAAACGACACGTAAAGTAAAATAAATAAGAAGGCATTAGGAAAATGTGATTCTTTACTAACTTCCTTCCTCACCTTTCCTTTTGCGGTTTCCTCATCTCCTACCGTGGCCTCGCCCTCCGACCGGCCGTCCCGGGACACCGTCTTCTTTGGCGTCGTCTGCCGCTCGTCTTCGTCGTCGGAGCCGAAGACGATGTGCTTCCCTGCCGCCGCTTTTGGAGCGTCCTAACGGGGACAAACGTGGTGTGAGCTCATTGATTGGACACGGTGGACTCAATCCACGTGTTACTACTCAGCTGCAGAAGGTTGACATGTCAGGACCCACCAGGTTGGATAAAGCTCCCTGGATGAGCTGCTTGTGCTCGTCGGCCTCTTTCTGTCTCTGCTGGACGGCAGCCAGCCTCCTCTCGTTGGCCTTCCTCTGACGCTCCTCTTCCTCCTTCGCTCCTAGCGGCAGGCGGAGGGGAGGAGCCTGCTTCTTCTCCTCCTCCTCCTCCTCCTCTTCTTCGCTGGAGGACTCACTGTCGGGAGCAGCGGGAGGTTTTGCTGCTTTCACAGCGTTTTCTTGCCCTTCCTCAGAGGATGAGGAGGAGCTGGAGGAAGAGGCTGCTGCTGCTTCAGGCTGAGCGGTGAGATGCTTCTTCTTCCTTTTCTCCTCTTCCTCCTCACTGCTAGAGGAGGAACCCGCCTCAGCAATGTTCTTCACCACCTCGCACGCTGCTTCCTCCTCCTCCTCCTCACTGCTCTCTGACTCCGCGAGGTCCCGTCCGTTGATTGTACTTCCTGTCGCTTTGTGATTCATCGGAGGAGGTTCCTCCACCAGCTTCTGTTTTTTGACGCTACCTCCTCCCTCCTCTTTCGGTCTCCTCTCCTCCCCCCCGCTCAGCGCTCTCGTCCCTTTGAACGCTGGCAGTGGAGGTGCTTTTATTCGCTCTTTCAGCTTGTCCTTTCTGGGGTCGTCCCTCATGAGGGAGGCGAGGATCTCCTCGGGCAGGATGCCCTTCTTGTGTGCAGGCGGCAGGACGCTGGGAGCTGTAGTCTCACGGGTCTCAGGGGTTTGCGGGGATTCCTCAGCCAGCTTCTGGAGATCAGCCAGGGAGATCGACAGATGGGTGACGTTGGAGAACATGGCTTCATAGTCAGAATCGCTGCAATCGGACGGTTCTTCTTCCTCTTCCTCCTCCTCGCTTCCATCGGATTCTGAGGAGGGGGGATTCACAACGGGGAGGACTCTCATCTTCTTACTTTGGTTCTGAGAACTGCATTCAGCAGGCGGTTTCCTGGAGAAGACCTCTTCCTCTGAGGAATCGTCCTCCTCCTCCTCCACCTCCTCCTCCCCACCTCCACTCTTCTTCTTCTTCTTCTTCATCAGCTTTCTCTTCCGGTTGCCCGCTGCAGCTCGTGGAGTCGGTCTCTCCTGCGGTGGAGGAAGAGCAGCTTTCCTGGAGGCGAACAGTTCATCCGTGTCTGCGGAGTCGTAGTCATTCTCGTCTTTGTGATCTGGACCTCCTGGAACCCCCAGAAAAGACGTCGTCACATTTTACAGCTCGCTTGAAAAACGCCCGTAATCATTACGCTCAAATCAAGTCGGCAGAAATCACAAACACGTCCGTTACCTTTCCGGCCAGACTTCACCAGATAGTCCAGTCCGACTACCTCCAGCTTATCCCCGTCGTCGTCCTCTTCCTGCCGCAGTGCATCATGGGAGGTGTCCTGCGGCGCCACCAGTCTGCGGATTTCGTCGTCTGAATCGGCGCCGGCGAAGCGCGGCCACTCCCTCCGAGCCGGCCCGGGGTCGGTCGCCGCTTCTCTTCCGTTGGCGAGCCGCGGGGCCTCGGCGCGAGGGGCGGAGCCAACGGTCGGCTTGGCTCTAAGAGGAGGAGCGGACTGATGTGACACCTGGAGTGACCTTTAACCACAAACGCCTGAGACCTTATTCATCAAGACGTCGTTACCTGGCTGCGCCTTCAGCATCGCGGGCGCTCCCCGCGTCCGCCCGACCCTTCTTGCGTCTCGGCGGCTCATACAGAGGGAACTCTCCCCGCCTCTTCTTGCTGATGTCGTCGTCGCCGCCCTGCACCTCCCAGGTGAGCTGTGTGACCGGCGTGACCGGCGTGGGAAGGTCGGCGCCGCCGGCCCGGTCCAGCTTGCGGATGTTGTGGCTGTATTTGGACGGGTCGTACTTCAGCGTCCGAGCCCTGCTGCCTTTCTGAGCCTTGAGCTGCAGGACGGGGAGGACTCGCCCGAATTTGCTGACCACCCAGTCCTGAAAGCATTTGTGGCAACATTGGACCTCCTGAATATCTTCAAATGTCATCAACAGTTTGATGAAAACTATTTTTTTTTCTCCAAAAACTATATTATTTTTGTCTGGATGAAATATCATCACAAGAACAGGAAGTGACGGACCTTGTGTCCCGGCACTTCGGTCCCCGGCACGGCGGCCTTCATGGTGAAGTTCTCCACGCCGGCTTTGCTCAGGGAGTCCAGCACCTTCTGCTTCTGGTCCTCAGCTTTAGGCTGCCGGAGGCCCTTCTGCTCCGCTGCCGTCTGCCGCTCCTCCGCCAGCCTGAGACCAAAAAAAACACAAAGAAAACACCTCCGTCTGTCACCTTGTATTTTAAGAAATTAAGATAAGAACTTGAAAATAATGCTCCATTTAGTCGATACTGAATGTAACTGTTGGTTGTGGCCTGGATGAAATAATGATTTATGAAGAGGAAGTTGTCAGAATTATAAATCAGGCAATATGATGGCGAGGTGAACATGAACGCACCTCTGCAGGAAACTCTCCTTGGCGGTTTCAATCTGCAGAGTTCCTCCTTTCCATTTGGATTTGTTCAACAACGTCATACCTGCAGAGGCAAAAAAAATACACCGATTTCAAACTGATGATACGACACGTAGCTCTGGTGTCACTTCTGCTGAAAGGACCGCAACACAAAACAAATCTTCCTCTTTGAATCGTTTCACAGAACCAAAACCGCGCTGTGATTTTGTGTCGGGATACTGAAACCTGATGTTTGAAGAGTGGTATCACTCCACAGCGACACAGTGGACATGAAGGCTCATAATAAAGTTCGCAGATGTTCGGCTCAGGTCACTTACATTTCTTCAGGTCGCCGTCTGAAATGTTGATGTTAATGTAGCTGAAGGTTTTATAAGGAACACCTGAAGGAGAAGAACAAGTTTCAGAACCCACACACACACACACACACAAAATACACACTCTGGTCATTGAGGGATCAAAAAGTAAATAAATAAAAATAAATAAAAATAAAATGACCTTGGTAGATTATGTAGAAATCTCAAGCATGTTTAGTTCATAAGAATGTGTAAAATATTAAATGTCTGTCTGTTTGGACGCCTCACCCTCGTCGTCCATCCTTGTCCGGACCTCCACGTCCTCCACATCTCCAAACCTTCCAAATCGCTCCTTCAGATCATTCTGGGTGACCGTGTGGCTCAACCCACCGACGTACAGCCGCCTCATTGCTCCGTTGCCAAGGCAACACTACACGGGTAAAATATGAATGTATATTTTGCACATTTTTCATTTCAACCATTACAGCTTAAAAACAGATATACTTTCCTTCCTTCTAATATATTACATGTATTATCCTTGACTTATACTATTCTGTTTTTCTTTCTTATTCTGCCAGAGAATTGTATTTTACTTTACACTATAAATTTTACTGAGGGGATCTGCAGTGGTGGTTGTACTCAATGAAAAGGAGTTCATATACATATATAAGTTTTATTGCACATTTTGAATTAACAATCCTCTTTTTTAACAAACGGAACAAGGGTGTATTTTTAAGGGATATCATTCGTAATAGACAATGATATTTCCGTGAACAACAGATGAAATGTCGGGGATTCTACCGGTCTCTAACGTATTGATCCAGCTGAGAGTTGTATTAATAGTTTAGCTCAGGTGAAGCACGCAGAGACAAAAACACTGCGACGCACGCAGTGTAAATAAAATAACCTATAATAGAGCGTACGGAGTTATCACGATCGAATTACCCGTTTCATTTTGCAACGTTAGACAGAAAGAGTGAAAACAAATGTTTACCTCACATGTATCAAGCAGGTGTTTCAATCAACTCTGTCCGGTGCCGCAATGCAATCCCACCGTCTTTCCCTTCCGCGCTTTGTTTCCGCAGAAATGAAAGGTTCCGCTGTGTGAGATTCCGCAGCAGCTGTAGGAGGGGTGGGCGAGGGAGTAAAATAAGCAGAAGATGTGACGGTTCTCTAATTTATGAAAATGTTTGATTATCAAGGTTAATAGTGTAAGAATAAAAATAAATATTCTCCATTTGCTCAAAACCGCTCTAATGTCTCTGTACTGTTACAGCTGTTACAAATACGGCTTTCAATGTAGAGGGGTGTCTCACAATTTCCAGCTTTTTATGTATTACCCATTAACCATACTACATAAATAACTAATGAACATACGTTTAAATGTATCTTTTTAAATACTGGCAGGATTTATTTATCAGAACAGTGGCACATTGCCTTATTATTCTTCATAGAAATGGTTCATTCCCCCCCTCCGACTCGTGGAGAATGGTACACTCCGGAGGGCGCGAGGCTACGAACTGTTTTGGTGAAGAATCCAGCATCACTCTGATTACGGGAAGAAGCCTTTGCTACACTTGTTTTAACTTACTTTTACTTACATAATTTGACATTATATCGCAGAATAATACGGTAAGTTAACGTCGGACGTGACACTCCTCTAACTGCACCGAGAGCCGCTTTTGTCGTTAACGCCGGCTTCGTTTTAATAAGCTAGCGAACGTTTCTGGTTTCAAGGGAATTGACGTTCAGTTCAATTAACGTTAACGAGAGCGGCTGAAAACAGCTGTGTTCGTTGGAGGGATTCAGCGTCACACCGCCGGGGAGGTTGATAGAGATTGTGATGTTCTGCGTTGCTATTTGTTATTTAAGTGTTATTCCACACTGTTCTTCTAACGTTACTCTACTTCTTACCCTAAATGTATTTTACAGCTTAAATTACTTTTAGATCATTACAGCACAATATAATCGACTGGCAGTCGACAAGTAGTTACATATTAAGAATCCCAGTAGAATATAACGTTAAAGTAGTTGAAAATAGCTTCACATTTTCAATGTGTGTAACAAATGAATTGCACATTAATGCATCAACTATTACAATTCATTGACATAATTAGATTATTCTGAAATAGGCCATTTTACATTGGGTAATTTCACTTTCACTTAAAGTATATTTGGATGCTAATACTCGGGGGTAACAGTATTTTTACTGTACTGTACTATTTTACCTATATAAGTACCACTGTACTACACAACGTTGTAAAGCTGGATGGTCCCGCAATCATAATATGTCCCTTATCGTTTTAGCTTCTTTATGTTGTGTATAGTGGTCAATTCCACTTATTCAGTCAATCCGTGTTTGTCCCTCAGGACGACAGGGAAGATGAGCAATGAGAACACGGAGGAAGCGGCGGCGCTGCAGGCTCAGATCGAGCATCTCCAGGCTGAAGTTTCAGCATTGCGGCGCCAACAGAAGGACGACCAGAAGGACGTAACGTTCCACTTCAGAGGACAGATGCAGAACGCCATGCAAGTTCTCTTCTTCATCATATTTAAATTGAATAATTTCCAATTTTCAACCAGTTTTCGCCACATCCAGCCGTACATCGTATGATCTAGTTTAGTCCTCCGGCCTGACGGTAACTGGACACGTTGTCTGTCTGTCTCCACAGGTTGAGTCTGTGTGGACAGAGACAAGGAGACGAGAAGGTGCTGTCCATGCTGATGGAGGAAGTGGAGGAGCTGGAGGAGGACCTGAAGCTGCAGACTCAGATGAATGGCATCAGTCTGACCGGCTGCACCACAAAGACTCTGCAGAGCAGTAAGAGACGCGTCTTATGAACCACTGAGACTAAATTTGTAAAACATTTCTTTGGAATGAAAAGCATTGTGTGTGTGTGTGTGTGTGTGTGTGTGTGTGTGTGTGTGTGTGTGTGTGTACGCAGGCGGCAGGAAGCTGGTCCAGCAGCTCTGTGTCTCAGGTCACTGCTCTGAACTGCTCTTCCAGGTGGAGTTCCAGCTGTCTGAGGTCAATGTGAGTCCAGTAATTTATTGAAGAGTCAGAGTCAAAAACGGTCCTCAGTGACCTCCTGTCCTCTCCTCGCAAAGACACAGGACAAGTGGAGTAGATCGACCCACCATGTATTTCAGAGACTACTATTTGTACTTTAAAACATTAAAAGCGTTCGCTCAACGGTGGCGTTACACAAAGTTGATTTCAAGAGAGACCAAAGCGATGTTTAATATGGTTCAGGTAACAGGACGAGGGACGAGGACGCGTCCAGCCAGCAGAGGGAGACGGAGGCCCACGTTCAGTCGTTCGCTGGAGGCATCGATTTTAGAAGCTCTGTTTAAACCTCAGCAGCTGTCAGACGTGCAAAACAAAAATAAAACTCCTGTCAGGCCTTAAATGTCATAGAATCATCGGACCAAACCGCCTCAGAGGCAGAGTAAGGTAGAGACTACACATGAAACTCAGGAATGTCTTCCATTAGCCAATAAAAACAAAAACTCGACAGCTCTGGACTTCTCGTCTCTTCCTGCTCTTTGGTGTCCTCTGTTCTCGTTTGTAATTATCGCTCTCACTCGTCCCAGTAACGGTGCGTTTGTCCTGCAGGAGGCCTCGGGCTGCGTGAGGACCATCAGCGAGCTCAACGTGGTGATCGACGCCGGCGAGATGCAGAACTTCAGCAGTTTCCTGTCTGGGTAAGAGCTGAAGGACACAAAGTCCAACTCAAATGCCCAAACTTCCCAAGAATAACTATCTGTGTCTAATTAAGCTTTTTTACAACCAAGAATTACAGAAGACGCACATAATAAGAGTGCTTTAGTGGTCAAATAACACAGTGAAGGAATGTGACTAATGGATTAATAGTCCTTTTTTTACAGTGAAAAACATCATTATCACCATCACTCAAAAGAATTGTGCTGCATCTCCGGTCCATTTAAAGTTACAATCTCTTGGCTCTCTTTGTTGTCTTTTGCTGCAATTAGCTGTAATAACAAGTGTTTTTTTTTGGCTTTCACTTACCTAAGATCCAAACATCGTGCTGCAACTTGGTCTCCTAACATACATTCATAAAATCAAAATCTTCCCAATGAACTCAAAACTGTTTTTTTTTTTTCCCACTCAAAAGTGGGATTTTTACATGGTCTAAACGACGGGTTTGGGATGTTCACTACGGGATGGAATCGCTGCAGCCAGCAGCAGTTCAGGTGCACGCACACTTTTGACCGGGTGGAGTATTTGGTCGGTTAAGCGGAGGTCCGTCTCGTGGGAGTCGGGCTGACTGGTTCTGCTGTTCATCTCAGGATGAAACCGTCTGTTTGGTTTATTCAAGTAGAACGCAGGACGTCTGTCGTCCAGCTGGACCTCCTCACGTTCGCCGCTCTCTCTCGCGCAAACAAAAAGCCGCTCTCAGGTCATCAACTGTAGCGCGCCGCATTCCCCATGGCTGCATTCCATTTAGCTGTGCTGGCCCACCTCTGAATTGAGCACAGCCATCGTTGGTATCGGTTACACCTGCTCCGCTGTGACTGTTGAAGGTATCTGGGCTCAATCAGGCCCGTGGAGGTTTACCAAGGAATGTCTGGCGCTCCGGTCGCCGCTTTATTACCACCAGGTGGTTTCTACACCGCGGGGATAATGTTCACTGTGGTCACAGCTCGTGGATAACAAATTACAATTACAAAGCACGTCTCAGTTTCATATCCAATCAAAAAATGTTTCAATAGGCGCCCACCTGAAACTAAATTAGCCGGTCCGCGAGCCAACAACATGGCGCCCCCCCCCCCTCCCACAGAGCGCTTTCTTCTGGCACGATGAGGAGATCAGCTCCAGGTGTGTGGCTTCCCACACCTGCTCCCGATACTGTCATCTGGGAGTGTCGGTGGAGCCACCTGGCATGAATTACCCTGCTGCTCAGCCCCCCCACAGAACAATATCTGCCCCACTTCATCGCTTGTAACAGAACGTACCAGCTGGCGAGGCGAGCACACGCGGAGGTCCGCCCGTGCTCCGCTGCCCCCGAGGACTTCACCTGGCGGGGCATCAAAAGCTTCTTCTGTTTGTTTCTCAGACTGCAGGTCTAAATACCCCGAGAAAAGCTTTTTACCACCAGGCCCTCTGTTGGTTGTGTATTTCTGTGGGTTTTTTGTGTTGTTTTTTTTCTGTGCTCTTCTCACAGTGTTTTGGAAAAAAGGCGATCAGCTCGATTTCTGCAGAGCAGTTCTAGTATTCTTTCTGCAAATCTTCCCCCGCACAGTCCTGATGGAGCAGATCATCATCTGTCCACGCATAACAGACTTGCCCATTTCATAACATTTGAAAGCCAGCGTTCAGATGCTTTACTAACTAAACGCCACACTCCTCTGTGCAGTTGATCCACAGAGCAGAAATCTGATTTGCTCCACATCTGGATTGTATGGTTCACTCTGCAGAATCTGAGAGAGAGAGAGAGAATGAAACGAGGATTCTGTCCTGTGACTTTTCATAGAGATCCGGCCAGCGATTTTTCCAAAAATGCCGGAGAAGTCAGTGATGAGGGTTTTAGTGTAGAAAATCATCCTTTGTGACACAACCATCTCCAGTCGTTAACCCGACGCATCATTCCCAACTTCTCATGAAGGGACACTGAAGATTTAATCCATCAGCTTCAGTTTGGTTCAAATAAAAACAGACACTTATTTCTTTTGTCCCGGTTTTAATTTAGTGAGGTAAAGAAGGGAAGAAGAGCTAAAGTGTCCTCCATTCTTTTTCTTCTCCTTGTGCATTTTTCTCCCAATTTCCTCCGGCTCGCTCTGCGGAGATCTGGGCCTCCAGAGCGCTCAGGCGTCATTGCCGCTCGGCTGGTTCGTGCTCCCCGTCGGCCTCCGAGACGGAGCCTCTTTTTAGGATTTAGAGGTTCTGGTCAAAGAGTTTTTGAATCTGTAACTTGGACTTTGCAGCCCGATGAGACATTCCTGATGAGACGTTTTTTGATCTCTCTTTGGCGCCTTTGAAGCTCCTCCAGACGATTTGTCCTTCACCTTCGACGTCGTCTTACTTTTATCTGCGGCACAGTTCCAAAAACTCTTGTGGCCGGTCAGTCGACCGGTGAGCGCGATGTGGAAACACCGTTGAAGCAGTGCATTGTGGGACTGGCTTTAGCGGACTGGTTCATGTCAAACTTCCCCCTGATCCTCGGCCATCAAACGCACAGCGATGCTCTTGTGATGTGGGGACCCGAGCCGACTCTCAGCAACATTTCAGAGCAACATTCGGAGCCCAAATCCGTTAAAAACAGCGATATGACACCAGGGACAGATGGCTCTCTGTCCCTTTGTCTCTGTCTCTGTGTCTGTGGCTCTCTCTCCTTGGTAGTGCTTCATTATATTGGGAGTGTGCTGCCATGTTTCCATCAGCTCTTTGTGGAATAACAGCCATCTGGAAACTTCACCCGGCTGCCGTCTAGCCCCGGGCCCCCGTGGAAAACTCAGGAAAGGCTGTAACGGAACGTCCCGTGCTCGCTCAGACGGAGCGAACCACACCACCGTTACGTTGGTTTCTGCTATCGACACATTGATATGAAGCTGAATGTTGGGATGCACCTTTTAACAGTTCGATGGGTCAATGCTTAATCTACACGGTATTTGGAGCTGATGTGAGATTTAGCTTCTTTTTTTTAAACGTTTGGTTATGTAGTACCTTTTTGAGCCGGTGGCTCAGGAGGTTGAGTGTGTTGTCTCTTAATGGCGAGGTAGGTTTGTCTTTGAGTAGTTAAAACCAAACTGCATTCTTTTTTTTTTCTTTTTTTAGTGCAAATAAAATTGTAAGCATTTCAAACCGAGTCACTGCAGCAGTTGACTCTGGAGTTTTGTGGAACCGAGAGAGAAAAGCATTAACAACCCCCAGAACGCACTGCACCGCCGTAGAAGCCCTCTACCTGAACGCGCCCGGTCGTAGATTGGAGCTGCTCTGCTAACGTGATGCACACCCTCATTTCAGGGTGGAGGAGAGCAGGGATCTTCTGCTGTTCTTCAGGACTCTCAGGAGCTTCTCGGACAGATGTGACGACCGGCGCAGAACCTTCCAGCACTTCCAGGTTAGTGAAGACACACCTGCAGCAGGTCTTTGTTTTGCTCAACAGATTTGTCTTTAGTTTTTTTTCTTCTACATGAGTCATTTTGGACTTGAAGATGAGTCCATCCATCTTTCTTTGAGACCAGATGGTCCGGAGACAAAATGGGATTTTTTCTGACATTCAGCCGGTGTTTGACCCCCGCTGGGTTTTCTCCCTCATCTATCAGTGGAGGAGGCCTTTTGGTCTTGTCCAGCTGAGAGGTCAGAGGTCGACCCAGAGGGACAGCGTTTCTCTTTGTGGTCCAGAAAGTATATTTCACAACAGTCAGCTTAATGTCAGCTATGAAAATACAGGAACACCTCCAAAAAAGTAATTACCGTAGGTGTGGAACGGTGTGGGCATGTTAAATATCAGGGTGACACTTTATTGAAGAGGAAGCAGCTAAATGTCAAATAGTAAATCGAGCCGCTCAAACAAAATGGAACTTTTTCTTCTGTTTACTCTCAGAATGTAAAGTTCGGCCAAGTTGGCCGTGCCGGAGGCGGATTAACCCACATTTTCCATATTGGCCTGCGTGCTCCAAACTCTTTTATTTTGCTTCCATTGCATTTTCTTCAGGGTTATTATGGGAAAAAAGTAGCTCCCATTGTAACTCTTGGACCGTAATGAGGGCAGTGCGTTGTATGTTGATTTCCACGCTTTGATGGCACACAGACTGAGGAATAAACAAAAACATAAAACACTACGGAGTCTCATGCGATCCAGAAATCTTAACTTCTTTTTGTTGCTCTTGGACCACAACAGTAACGAAGCAGGGACCGCACGTGATTCCTGGCTACGTTCCGCTCACAAACCACAGACATTTACGAGCATTCGGCCAATCACCGAATGGCATTTCTCCATTCTGGGCATCACGTGTTATAGGCGTGGTCGCTGTAGACGGGCCTTTATAGTCTTGCTTTTTTTCCTTGTTTATGATAACCAGGGGTTGAGTTGATATAACTCACCTGTTTAAATGATGTAAAGGCCTAGAGTTCTGAAGAACCGTTCCATGTCTCTCTCAGCCCCAACTACCACCCGACTGTTTGACCATTTCGGGATTTTCTGGAAGTTACCGCCAATGTGTATCTTACATGTGAAGCAGGCTCCAATAATTATTCTAAAAACATTTTAATTTACAAGATTTAACTTTATTAAAATGTCTTAAACACATAGCCATGTCCCCTCTTCCTGTACACCATTGTCTTATTCACATCAGTAATCATTTATAAGTCATCTTTATTACTGGAGGCGAAGAGTAAGGGACACAAGCAAGACACTTTAAAAGCAGACAAAATAAAAAAGGAGTAACTTTCACATTACTATAGTTCATAGATACATTGCTTCCCAGTTCACTTCAACCCAGAGTCTATAAATTAAAAAAAACAAAGTGAAGCTAAGTCACAAAATGCTTAGAAGAGGCCTGCAGATGAGTCCACATGGCCATTGACCTTATTGAGAGATGGAGTAATTAAAAGTGAAATAAATTCACACAATAGCCGTGCGAAACCCAGAGGGTCGTGTTAATTTCTTGTCATTTTCTGAAAGAAAAGCATACACAAGACATTGTTTTGTATCTGAATAATGTCGTGTGTCTGACAAGAGAATCTCAAAGCCTCTTCTGATGTCTGAGGAACGTTCACTGTGCTCACAGACCTTAAGGGACGTTTCAGAAACTGAGACCGGGTTCATTCAAGAACAACAATTAGTTTTTGGGTACCTGAAATGACTTTAAAGTTCCAAAGATCCTTCGGTCTCCAAGACTCGTATATGCTTAAGTAATATGATCCTGGCGTTTAAACCGAGACTCTGAAACGGCGAAAGTTCAGCGTCAATTCAGAGGTGGCAGTTTGTCCGGTAAAACTTGTGTTCCCAAAGTTTTTTTCTTTCTTTTGTTTGGCTCAAAGTCCGCTTTCAATGTTAGTCTGGGAATTAATAGATGAAGCATGCAACAACAGTAATACACATTATCAAAAACTGCTGTGGGTCCAATGTAACATTCAACAATAATATGTTGAATTAATTATTTAATGTAAAACCCTGAAACTAGAGGTCTTACATTACTATAAGGTAATTATTTTTGACAGTGAAATTGGCAGTTTTTTTGTAATTTCTTTTGTACTTATTGTTACACACTTTAAATAGAAATATATTGTGCGTGTGTCTGGAGCAGTTGTGTGTCATCGTGTAGGCCGCACAGTGTCAGGTCAAAAGGAAACGATACGTTGGACTCTCGCTGTAGAGGCGTCTCATTTGAAGCGTCAGTTCCACATCACTGGTCAAAAGGACGTTCAGAAGACACCTAAAGTCATGTTTTGGGCTATTCGTCACATTCCAATCCTTTTGTCAAGCTTGATTTTGTCCAATTTATTAACCGCATGTGACTCCAATCGACTCTCCGTTTGTCGGATTGTCCAACGAAGCCTTTTGTTGGACAATCCGATAAACGCCTCATGAGATTGGTCGGGTGTGTGGACGGAGGCGAGATTTTTAATGTCATCACTTATCGTGGGAATATCAGATTGGTTATGATAAATGCCCTTTTGAGGAAATTTGTGTTGTTTTGCCCCATTTGCTATGAATCAACGCGTCTACAACTGGGTTAAGACCACATCTTTGGCGAGAAGTGAGAGGAGCAGCTTGATGCCTTTCAGAGGATATTCATAACTAGTAGAAACGCAAACCAGTTAGTTTTAAGCACATTGAGGCCTTCACGCACTAATTGATGTGATGTGTGAGACTTCCTGAAAAAAGCTTAAGCTTGGAACTAAATCGGTAGAACTGAAAAAAAAAAATGGTGGTAAACTTAATTCTACACCTTCAGTCCAATGAATAGTTTCACTTCGACCTGACCATGTCACAAACCGTTTGTAGGTTTGCTGATGTAAAAATATTGACACTTTTTTTGTATCCCCGCCGTGGGACCAGCACCCGAAAACAATCCAGAACCCCCAGTTTTCCCACACGGCCCCGTCGGCGAGGAAGGGGCGACAGTACAGTTTGTTCCTCCTCAGCGATACTGTCCGATCGGCAGTACCTTCATGCAGGTGAAGCTGTCGGGGTACTTGGACAGCACCACTGGGTTGCCGTCCATGCGCACCTCGCTGAGGCTGGGTCGCAGGTAGTAGGTGTCATTGGACCGGCAGAAAGTGTCTACGTTGACCTCCGTGATGTTGTTGTTCTGGAAAAAAAGAGGGAGTCTCCGCTGGGATTGATTCATCTCACTTAATACGTTTCCGCCAGCAACCATGAACTACTTGGACAGTAATTGGAGGGTAGAGAGTATCTGAGGTTCCAACCTGTAGATGTAAGATCCGGACGCTGTCTGGGATGTGTGGAACGGCCTCCAGCTGGTTGTCAGCCAGGTACAGGTTCATCAGCGTGGTCAATTTCTGTTGGAGACACAAATTCACGCCGTGAATCCAGCTTGTGTGTTATATGCGGCTTCATCACTGTGTGGGAAGTGGGAACATTTTTCAAATATTTGCAGCATGCGTTGCTTTAAACCAGATGCTCTGCATGAAGAGCAATGTCCTGGTTTACAGGGATCTTCTTTTGGAAAATATCCGCTTTACAGTATCATTAAAAATGTAAATCAATCTAAAAGCTCCTCGTTGAATATTAAGCTGGATAGGCTTACTTTGAATAATCCCTAAATAACCAGCAGTACCTGGAGACCGCTGCACAGGTGTACTGGTTGGATGGATTTACCGTCATCTTTTCTTGATGAAGTAAATAAGCGTTTCTCCTGATGTTGACCTGTTCTAATGAGGGCGGACACCTCTGTCGTTTTTGTCGTCATTGTATAAGATTTTAAAACCTTTTTTTTGACAGTGCCTTGTAAACGCATCTCTGGTGAAGTTTTAAAGTGGCGCTCTTGTGTGGTTGTATTGAATCTTAATTTTTCTTTTCTATCGATCCAATCAGCTAATAGATTAGTCAACAAAATTATGTCATTATTTGTCAACTAACAATTTCTTACTTTAATTAAAGTAGGTTTTAAAACCCAAAAGAGTAGTTGAGTAGTATTTTGAATGATATTTGTACTAAGAAGAGATTTGCGTCAGTAATCATTGGAGTATTCCAGATTGAGAAGGTTGAGAGCTGGGGATGCTCACCTTGAAAGCGTTCGCTTTGACGCCCCTGGTTTTGAGGAGGTTGTTGTTGGCGTTGAAGTATTTCAGTTTGGCCGGGAGCATCGGAAGTTTGGCCAGTTTGTTCTCAGCCAGAGACAACTCCTCCAGCAGGGGGAGATTAGAGAAGGCCCCGTCTTCGATCTCTGAGATCATGTTCCCCGTCAGGTCGATCCTCCTCAGAGTCACTGTTGATGCATGTCAAAAAACGTCCGTTAGTTGAGTTGACCTGAAAGCTTTACCCTGTTTACTACAATACACCTGATGTTGCTACGCCGACGACTCGCAGCTATTCTCCGTAAAAGGGATACTGCAGTAATTTACTTTGGAATCTATTGAGAGACAGATTTTAAAAACATAGTTTAAATCTGTGCAGCAGAAGCTGAGATATCTGGACCGTTTAGTACAAAGTTTGGCTCAAGTTCCAAGAACCCTGGATCTTCATGAGACTTCCCTGCCTGGTGAACACGTGCGTCTTTCAAAACCCACAGCTCCACTTTACAATGCAGGCTATCCGTTATGAATGGGTTGGCTTTAAGAAACATGGGACAAAGGCTTTCTGTAAATAATACAACTTGAAATCAACAACATTTCAATCTAGACATTTTTTAATCAAACAACACGACAAAGACACAAACTATTTCCTTTTTCTTTTCGAAGAAGTGACGGAGACTCACCAATGTCAGCAAAGTCTTTGGTGCGTATCTTTTTGATCTTGTTGAAGCGGGCGTACAGGTACGCCGTCTCTTTAGGCAAGCTGGGCACGCTGGTCACGTCTGGACTGACCTCCTCGCAGTACACGGATCCCGTCAGACACACACACAACAGGCAGGTGGGAAGGTCTGTGACACAAAGGCACAACACAAACATCAAGCCTTCTTCAGAATGAAGAGAATTGTTGACAACCGACCGATGCGCATCTTGCATCTCGAATCTCCTCAGCTCCCGATAACTTTTCCTTTTGAAACCTAAAAGAACACATATCAAGGTATGGCTTCCTCAAATCCTACAGTTTTGCGCTTTTTGGATGAATTTTATGAATCTCACTTTATAGAAAACCCCCAAGCTGTTGGATTTGCTGTTTTCCAAATGTACTGCTGGGTCAAAACTAAACTCTACCCTGTTCCAAGAAATCTCCAGCTTTTATTTGAGTGTCTTTCTGAAACCATCAACATAGTAACCTTTTAAAGGTTCCCCTATAAAGTGAGATGTACACAAGGTAAACATCTTACCAGAGGCATCTCCTCCTTGCCCCACTGGGGCATCACCCGGTTCATCAGCAACAGGCAGCGCCCTCTGCAACAGAAAACATGGCCACTGCCAGGTTGAGGAGGCTAACGCGGATGCTAACACATAGGTTTTAGGTAGAAACCAAACAAGGAAGGAAAAAAAGGGTGTGCTATCTGTAGAGTATTGTGCCTCAGTCCCTTGGATACCACGAGCCCGTACGAGGTGCGTACAGCTCAACCTGTTACGCCTGAAATGAAACGCACTTACACGGCAGTTTACTCTGAGCATGAGCACAAACCCACCGTTTTATGTGGGAAATACAGCTCACCCATTGAATGTTTTCACCTTGTGACTATGTTTGTCATTGTGGGAAAGGTGTGATTCTGTCTGATGATGGTTGACTTTAACGTCTTGTTGAATCGTGAACCATGCAGGTGATTTGAACGTGTGATCTTCACTGATCAAATGTCCAGTTTCGGATACAGATCAAAGATTTCAAAGTTTTATCCGCACTGCACAGCTGTTTGCGACTATGAACCACATATAATCACCTGTTTACTCCGGTTACAACGTCCTCTACAGCAACGTGTGCTTAATGGGTATTTGGTTGGCCTATGCACACGTTGTTGGAGGTACAGTATACTTGCACAGAGGCCGGAGCCTCTTCATCCGTCAACAACGGTCTGGTCCACGTGGGACACGCTGGTCGGATCGGACCCATTCGGGGGCCCTCGTTTCAACAAGGGGGATCCCTTGGCTGGATTGGCTGGCAGAGCTTTATATTCCAAAGCCGACAAGAGTGTGAACCAACGTGCCAAAAGTTATCTAACTGCTAATGAACGTTCCTGAATCACCATGAGCGTGATGGTTGGTATGTTTGTCCTCTGCCATCACGGCTCTCACCAATCACATCCCTCCATCCCCACAGGCCCTCCTGCCTGAATGAAGCTGGTGGTTGACTGCAGCAGCAGAAGAGGTCGTGAGGCCCGTCTCTCTAAGACTGTAGGGTGTCGTCTGACAAACAGCTGCTCCCATTACTCATTAGAACTGAGGGTAACTTTCACACCGTTCCCCTCATGTGCTCAGGGCTGCCTGAGGCGTTTTTCTCTCCCTCCCTGTGTTTCCCTGAGGCTGAACCACACCAGACGTTGGTTTTTCTCTGTCCAAATATTTCTTGAAGTAGTTAGTGTGGTTAGTTGTGGTTGCTTGAGGGCCCCTCCAGTCAGACACAGCAAGGTGTATGATTTTGAAACTGCGAGCTGAATGAATTATGACCTGTTGGGGGAGGATGAAGTGCTGACAGTTTCTGTGAGTAGCAAGTAGAAAACAAAGAATAATAGAATAACGTGCAGGATGAATGATTTATTTACTAATGAAGTCATATTTCTCCATTTTGACAAACAATTGTAGCAGATGTTTGTTTTTAATTCAATTTGATACACGTTATTGCTTATTTTTGTTTATAAATGGCATAGTCTGCTCAACGGGGAATAACCTCCACTATCTGCTCAACAAACCACCACAGTTTATCTGCTGACATTACACTAGTTATGGGAAAAATGCTTGGAATGTCATTTCGTTTAAAATATCTTTTATACTCCAGCTTATTTGAAATAAATCCATGGATCAGAGTTATTGGAGACACCACGACACGGATAAAACGGTCTTACCCTCGCCCTCCTCAATTTCCAACGGTCAACGAAGTATCCGTTCCGCTCGCTGCCAGCTAGAGATCCCGCTATCAGCTGCGAGTCCTGCTCCAACCTCCCGGCCGAGGCCGCCGCCAGCCAAGGCACCAGCACACAGGTGAACAGGAGCGCCTTCATGTCCGAAGCCCGAGGTTTGGGTCAGCAGCTGCTCGATGCTCCAAGCCCCTGTTGGGATGTGTCAAATGACCGTATTTAAAGGCTGCACCAGTAGCTTTCAGCAGACTCTTAAAGCGGAGTTTAGGGAGCCTGCGCACTTAACCCTTCCCTGGCCACCCGGCATCCATCTGCTGAGCGAGAGAGTAAAGCATCCATTTTTTTCTACTTCTGTTAAACGTTCCCCAAGTATGTACAGGGGGGGAAAACTGCAGAGACGGCAGAAAATTGACAACCGCAGTGTGAGTGTGTTTTGTTAGGAGGAATGTCTGTGGTCTCTCTGCCCGGCCACTCCGTAATGACTCGTAATAACCAAACCATCTTTCATTAGGCTGGATTAGTGGTTCTCTTTCTCCTCTCTTCTTTTCTCTCCGCCGTTGGTCAGACGAATACATTCAGCGGCCGTTGGACAGACGCTGATTCTAGGTCAGTTTTCATGTGATTGCTTTGGACGATGACTCCTCGTGAGGTTTCTGCTCCAGGGAAATAAATAAAGGTTGTTTGGCAAAAGCGCCGGTATTTCACCTTAAGCATGTACCTAACTCGTAAATGAGTTATAGTCTTTTCAGTGGTTTTTGGTTAACACAAAGCGTTATCCTCTCTGGGAACTCTGCAGTGTTTATGTGTCTGAATAAAGGCGGGCGATGACTAATCCGCAGATACTCGCGCCCCGTCTCGTTTATCGCCTCACTAACGGTCTTCCTTCCTCTAGATGCATGAGGAGGAACATTCAAGCTGAGATGCAGATCTATTAGGATTCAGATTTATTCAAACTTACTCAGAAACGGCAGCTCCTCAACTGAAAAAACGTGACGATGAATATTAGTTTTTATTAGTTGGGATATTTGATGTGCAACCTTTCAATTTAACGAATACATCTTCATCCACCTCGGAGTTGACTTAAGAGTTTTCCATTGATTGGCTATCGGCGCATTCCGGTTTGGAGTCATAAATAAACCGACTCTGTTTGTGAGACTGGAGCCAAAACTGTACAACAGCTGTGCGAGTAAAACAAGAATTCAAGAGCTGGAGGAAACAATAATTTACAAATGCTGGTTCTGTGGGTGAAGTGTTCCCTTTGAAGATGATGGGAAAAGGTGAAGCATTTCTCTGGTAAACCGGGTCACGGATCCCCGGAAGATATTTAGAGAACTCTCTGTCCAAGTCAACCCTCGCTCTCCTGAATCAATGCGTCTCTGGGTTTTAATGCGTATCAGACCTCTGCAGCCTCAAGTTATGAAAGCGTTCTGCGCTGCGGTGGAGGCAATACCAATGAATAACCGCTAATATGATCAACAAGTGTTTTTCAAAAGCCCAAAATATAATCAAATAAGAATTGGGGAAAAAATCCCCCCCAAAGACCAGTTCCAAAGAATTTGCCTTTTTTTTTTTTTAGGTGTTGTACTTGAGTGAAATGGTTGAAATGACAAGAGACTGTACTTCTCCATAAACAAGCCAAGCGAAAAAGAGCAAAAAACAGCACAACAGTTAAATAGAAAACATGTGACTATTTGAGCCCTCAAGAGGAGAGCGAAAATAGGGGGGGGGGGCAGATATAAACATCCAAGGAACACGAGCCCGGACTGTTACAGGTGTGTTAGCAATTATGAACACCTTTAAACTTTTATGACTCTGGGAAGAGGGCCTGCAGAATGTTTTCACTGTCACTCATTTTCTACACCAGTTTGAAGTGTTTGGGGGGGGCGGGGGGGGTCACTGGTATCCTACTGCACAATAAAGCCGGTCAACGGGGAAAGCCACCCGCAACAGCAAACTTAACGCACATTATTCCTGTTGCGTTAAAAAAACATTAAGGCGTCATATGTCCAATTGTGCATTAATGTTAAATGGCTCGCGTCCTCCTCGCTGCCTGCATCGCCTTTCTTCTTCCTTTTGCTCGTCACAATGCTTCAAACTGACCTGCGTCCAAAACGACCACGACTCGTTTAGTCGATGCACAATCTTCGACTTATCATATTCTAATTAACTGACAAACATTATTCTTTAGAACTCTTATGTCTGTTTATTTAAGAAATTATATTATAGTGTGAGGTAGCGGCGGACCTGAAGGGGACACACGTCAGTGAGGGTGCTCCACACACGGACTGCAGATTGACTTCGGACACGATGGACCACTTGGCTGCATGGGTCTGCATGGGTCTGCATGGGTCCGGCTGACAACTGACCCTCGTACATCACTATTCCAGATATGCAACTTGTCTTCCTGAGTGAGCCCGGACTGAATGAAATGAGATGCACATAATCTGTATATTCAGTGTCTTCTGGTGCAGAACTCAAGATCCCTCCCAATTTAAAAGGTCTTCGTTAACATGACTCATCTTTTTTCTTTGGTTTTCATTGAGACATTAAAGTCGTTACTGCCTGTTATTCAGATTTTAGGTCCGTTTCACTGTAGGTCAACTCTTTTTCACTTCCTCTCAGCGTTTAAACTCCATTCTTTCTCCCAATGAGCTGCACTATCGAGTCTTTTTCCTGATGCAGAGCTTTGGTTCCAATACTGGCACCCGGCCTTGGAATTCAGTCCCAGAGGAGGCGAGGACGACCTGATGATTCAAACAGAACACACAAGACCACCGCTTGTTTTCAGAAACAATGGGACAGCTTTTAACCACAGAGCGCTAAACTTACATATGAGGCTACGTGGTTTTTCTGCAGAATGAGTTCATTATGACTCTGGTTTAGCAGATATAACGCAAGCTCATTCCTATACAAAATATAGATAACTATGAAATGCTCATCCATATATGCGTTTTTTTTTTACTTGCTCTGAGTGTTCGTACTCCTCTGAGGCTGGGAGCCGGATGGTTCCTGCTGTACGACCCAGATGCAGAGCAGATGTTGGGGGCGCATGGAGAGGAAGTCCAGGCTTTACGGTTTGCTGCTGCACATGCGACCCTGTCGTGATACGTACGGCCGAGCTGCCGTAGGGTAGAAGCTCGCTCAGGCGCCGCAGAGATTGATCTGGTCTGGAGCGGGTTTCGTTTTTGATGTGACGGTGTTCACATCTCATCATGTTGAAGGAGAAAAACATGCAGGGTTGAAAGGGTACGCTTCCCTTTTTCCTCCGGTTATATTTGCAGCTAAAGACGTTAATTGGCCTTCAGCAGTAATATGCTTTTTATTTGCCAAAGGGAGGCCTCGCAGCCTCGGGGAAAGGCATCTAGTTGGGTTCACTTCTGGTCTGTTCGTGGTTTGGTCTCCTCAGAATTCATCGAGAGCCCTTGACTTCAGCTGTGGTGAATTACAGAGGATCTATGGCTCGTATCATGCTTTGGACATCTCAGGGTCTGTGTTTGTGCGTATAGCTGCTGACTGTTTATTGTAAAAAAAAGACCTTTTGTGGTTCACTGAGCCTGGGAGCTCTTATCCCACCATGACGTCTGCTGTCAGCTCTGCACAAAGAAATGGGAGGAGGGTCCTTCAGAGGTGAGGAGGGATGGGTGCCCCAGTCTTTGTCCTTATCGAATGTCCATATATAAATTCCTCCTCTGACTTAAGTTGGGAAAATGCAAAGATGTCTAGGAGACAGACCTGCAGGTTCAGAATAAACCCTCGCTGGTCATCTGTTGATCTTCATGTAAACGCTGTTTATCCTCTCAAAGGGTTTTCTTTGGTAAATTGGTTCAGTAACCTGTCGTGCAGGGCGGATGACTGATGTAATCATGAACCCCTCGGCACTGAAGGCAGCGCAGACATAAAACATCATCTTGAATAAAACAACAAGTCATCTCTTACATGGAGCTCTTTCTATAATCAACATTGTTTCATGTTGAACAAAAATGTGTCTTTCAAGACAATATTTATCAAACGTGTCGTTAGTAACTCAAGCTTCTTTGGTTAATGCATATTTAGTGTAATTAATCTCAAGGAAAGACTGAAATGAAAAATTCACAGCCAAGACTGAGTACTCAAGTATTCACAACGTGTCCCAGTTATTCCGTGTCATGACTACACACTTCTACCAACATCTGCTGGTATTACCTTCTAATCGGAGCTGTTGAATAACAACTGAGCTGAGGGAGTCACACAGGAGTGGAAATTGGGGCTCAACCAGCATAGAAAAGGATTTGCGTAGAGGCCCACCCGACCCAAAGTGCCGTCTGCAGCTGGAAAACCAACACTCATTTAGAAAAGCAATTGAAAGTATTCGTTAGGGTTCATCCACCATCTGAGAGGATCGCGTTGGTGTCCCGACGGTGGTCTCTCGTCTCTTGGTTGTGGACATGAGACGGGCTCTGATTAGACTGTCAGCTGAGACGTGACCGCTTGGACCCGACCAGTATGAGACATGTGGAGGCCGTTACTGGCTGACTGGGTTCCAGTGTGCGGTGGTATTGGAGACTTCTCTGTCCTCTGATGACTACTGGATTTGTCATCCCAGCATTCCTGCCCTTTTCCTTCTCTCAGGCAGCTTAGCGTTGGCTCAAAAGTGACAATGATGAACTTGGATCTGTTGACATTGGAAGTGTTGGTAGTTCTAGTTTTTGAAGCGACCCCCCCTAACTGGTGTGTAAAGTTCCAGTTGTTCATTAGTCTTCAGGCCTTCGGCCCCGGCTGAGCATTGGTCCTCCTGGTTGACGCTTAAAAGGTATCTTATGTCAGGGGTCCCCAACCACCGGTACCGGTCATTGGTATCGGGCCGAACCACAGAAGGAATTAATATTTTGATTATTCCTGAAAAATGTTTTATTTTGAAAATTGACCGGATTTTCTCCTAATTACGTGCGCTCGTCCCTTTTGACGTAAAAAATAAATAAAAATTAAATCTTTTTATTTATTTTTAAATTTGAAAGAATCTAAAGTAATGATTGGTTTGATATTGAATCTTTACACCACAGTTTATGTCTCGTATTGAGCCCGTGCCATTTATCTCCATCACCTCAAATGCTGCAGACCGAAGGTGGTCTCATGGCTACAGCTTGTTAACTTTGTACATGCTCCTCATTATAAATAATGAGTCTAGTTGCAGTTTGATGGAGCTCATTGGAGGCCTCCAATCGACAAAAACACAATTGTGCACATGGAGTTTTATCTATTGAGTGAGCTCCAATGGTTTTAGATAGTTGTTCT